GAAAAGCCATGACTTGGGCCTATTTTGCAGTTCTTCGGAGTAGGAAGCCATATTGTCATGCTTGAATCCTATTTTGCATGAAATCTTTTTCAAATAATTCTAATAGCTTGAATTGAAGTTTTAGCAAAGAAAATCATATGAAAATTTCGTGATTAGTTTTAAAATACAATTCATAAACCAACATCCAAGCATCATCCATAATTAAAATTCAATCCTTAAACTAACATCCATAATTAAAATAAAATCCATATACCAACATCTAAGCATCATCCATAATTAAAATTCAATCAATAAACCACCATCCATAATTAAAATACCATCCATAAACTAACATCCAAACATCGTCCATAATTAAAATTCAATCCATAAACAAACATCCATAATTAAAATATAATCCATAAACCAACATCCAAGCATCGTCCATAATTAAAAGATAATCCATAAACCAACATCTAAGCATCATCCATAATTAAAATCCAATCCATAAACCAACATCCAAGTATCATCCATAATTAAAATACAATTTATAAACCAACATCCATAATTAAAATACAATCCACACAATCCATAGAGAATCATCCATCATTAAAAATTTAAAATACAATCATTAAGCATCCCTAAACCATAATACAAATACAAAAATTAAATTCCAACTTTCAAATCTTGACATTCCCTAAAAAAAAAAAGACACCCCATTAACTCAAATAATCTATCAAAATATTCAAGTTTGAAAAATTAATATATCAAGCAAATAAAAATTAAAAACTTACCCATGTCATCCAAACGGCCCAAACACCATTAATCCATCATATATCTATCATAGTTGATTCTATAAAAAGGTGTTAATATATCTGAAAAATAAAAGATAAAAAATAAATCAACACTTAAACATTATTAAATATTAAACATCTTGAATAAATAAATAAAAAATGACAAATGAAAAGATGGAATTAATAAAATTAGCCGTTTCAATTTTCTCAAGATCTTGCAAATCTTTTTCAATATTAATTGATGTGAATGAATTTCAAAGCCAATCTTGAGCACATATAAGAGATTACACAATATTAAGAGTTAAAGAACTCCTAAAAGAGTCGAGAAGTCTTCCTTTAGTACTAAATAAAGATTCCGAAGTAACAATTGATATTGGCAAGGCCAAAACATCATAAACCATTTGAGAAAGAATGGAAAATGGAGTATAATTGTTTTTCCACCACGTCAAAATATTAAAATCTTTATCTTTTGTTTTCTTACGGTTTCATTAAGATACTTATCCAACTTCCATTTGTTTTCTCCACCTTCAATATCAATCTTGTATTTTTTTATATTTTAATTTCATCTCATAAACCACACACATTAACCCTTTCTCAATAATTTCTTCATTTGCATCTTCCATTCTCCCATCACTTTGGTTAATATTAGGTTTTACCAATCCGCAATATGAACAATACATGGCATGCATAGATTCTCTCACAAGATTTTTCATCATTTCACCATTCAATTCACCATACAATTCATTAAAAGAAACTGAACAAATCAAAATTTATGCCTAGGATCAAAATTTGTTGCAATATAAATCAACTTGTTCATTTTCTTAATGTCTCACCGAGTATTCATCAAACTTTTCTTTCATTCTTATAGCCACTAAACAATCATCAACATCAAAATTTTTTTTTCATTTTCTCAAAACATATTCAACGAGCATAAATCTCTTCAAAGAAAGCATTGGAAGTGACACACAAAGAACCCAAAACAAACAAAGTAAGGTCATAAAAAGGTTTCAACATGGTCACCATCTTCCTACAAGCCATCAAATCATTGACATTTGATGGTCCAAATACTTCTTCACCATGATCTACATCAAGTCCACGTCTATATAACGGATCAATTTGCTCATATCTCTTAAAAGCTCTCTCAAATTTTTGACTCGTATCCGACGTCAAATATGTTGAATTCCACGTAGTTACAATATCTAGATGTAACAAACTCTCGGAATCAATCTTTTTAATTTCAATGCATCTCTTAAATTTTTTTAGCCTAAACGAGAGGTTGTCTCACATACCTCACGATAGCTCGAACACGAAGGATCGAAGGATTAACATGTTTTAACCCACCAACAAAAACAAGATTCAAAATATTTACCACACACCTCATATGAAGGAATTTCTCATCTAAGATACTATGATCCCAATTCTTAATAATATCTTTTAAGTATCTAATTGCTACATCACTCGAAATTGCATTGTCAATCATAATAGTAAAAATCTTTTCTATCTCCTAATCAATTAAACACTTCTCATTGGCATTGCCTAAATCTATAACCTTATAACTATCAAATAAATAAAAGTTCAATATCTTTTTATATAACTTTCAATCATTATCAATGAAATGGGTCGTTAAACACATATAATTGATTCTTTGAATAGATGTTCATGTGTCTATAGTGAGACAAATTCTCGAGAATTTATTTTCAAGAATTACTTCAATATTAATCTCTCTTTTAAATAAAGTTGATAGCAATCTCTTGAAATTGTAAACCATGATGGAATTTTGAATCTAGGTAATGTAATGGACATAAAATTTTGAAATCTTATACCCTCTACAAATTTAAATAAAAGTTCATCTACAATGATCATGTAAGCTAAACCATTTCTAATAGCATTTTGATCAAACTTCCATATGTTAAGAGTGTTTTTTCTTAGAGTATTTGAGTGAAGGTTTAATTGGGTTTATGAAGTCTCAATACTATAAGGGTGTTTTTACATATAGTCATATAAGACTTAAGTATGGTAGTGCCATTTTTTATAGGATGTGCGACAAGTACCTTATCACAATAATTGCATCTTCCTTTAATTTCTTTATTTGCATCTTTAAAATTGGTAAAATGATCCCATATAATTGATCTTAGCTTCATTGGTTTCTCTTCATTCTTCTATCATTTTGTGCGTTTGTTTGAGCTACGAGTTGGTGGTTCATTGCTAGAACTCACAATTTCTTCGAGTTATGACATCTACACAAAGGATAAATTATTATCTCTCCAACTACCTTCACTAGAACTAAAAATTCACAATACACTAAAACTTCATAGTAATATAAATGAAAGCCAATGGAAAAGCAAATGGTTTGGTCAATAGCTAAAACTTCATAATGTAATCTTTATCTCTCCTTTATTTGATAATTACTTCATATTGTTGTAAACTATAGTCCAAATAATAAACAAACCTCCCGTTCATTAGAAACAAAGGTCACTTAATGTTCAATAACATTAAAATGACGAGTAATTAAATGAGAGGGTTGAAAATTCTTAAACACTCTGGATGGCAAATGGATCAATAGACAAAAATCAAATACTCCCACAAACAACTAAAATAAATCTAGGTAACCACAAGACAAAGGTAGCCCATTTTGCGGGAAGTTTCCAAGCATTATAATGACAATATTCATTCTACATCCTAGGTAACAGAGTTGATGAATTAATAGCATATCTTTTGCTCCAAGCGGTCTAGATACTTAGGCCTCACAATTATTGTTAGATGATGTTGAACGAGCTTCTCCTTTTGATTCTAGATGCATAAAATATTGGCAAGAAAATTGGCAATATATTCATTACAAAACACAAAAATAGTAGTTTTTCAAAGATTAAAAGAAAATAGGCTTCCTAAGTGATAACTTATGTCATAAGGCTTCCAAAATAAATAGAAACGAGATCTGTATTTTAGACTAGAAAACTAATACAATGTAATTTGTTATATCCTTACAATTAATGGAACAACCCCCGCAAACTCTAGTTTTAATACCCGAGATATTTATGTAAACAAGATTGGTCAAGAATCATAGAAAAATGAATATAAACTCAAAAGGGTTAAGCTCTGCTCACACCATAAACACTCGACCCACTTCGACTCGATCCTTAATTAAAGTTCATTCTAGAAACACTTACATGGTATGCCTAGAGCTTGCATAATGTTCATACTTCATACAGGTACACTTCTACTCAAATTGAGGAAAATTATAAAAAGTCAAAGCCAAAAAAGTTATAAAATGCTTGGAAATAACTAAAAATCAATAAGGTAAACCCACCCGGATCTATTAATTAATCTAAAGCGTTTTCATTCCGTTTTATAATTTATTTGCAGTACCTAATCCAGCTATCTTCGCTAAAACTAAAAATTCATAGGCGTAACACATTGAAGATACTTGCTGTATAAAATACTAATCATATATGATCCAGGCTTGAAAATGGATCATTATCGAGTAAAAAGAAGAAGAAAGAATTCTAGGATTTAAGAGTTGGATATATCAATTTTATAGAAGCCGAATCAAGTTAAAATATCGGAGATGAAATGAAGCTTAATTTTCCATATAAAAAAGAAAAAAACCCTTTCATTGTCAATGTTGAATATTTGTAATGTGTTTTCTTTTAGGTTATAAAGGATTATTTCCCATTCATCTAAACTGCATAGAACATCACCATTCTCTATAACCTATAGTAGTTGAAGCCAATACTTAGCTCCATGTAATGGGTCACTGCTAAACCCGAGCGATCTAGTTCAAGAAGCCTTGTTTCCATATTTCTTTATAATCCAAGCTTTAAGAGAGGTCCACAATTAGTATTTGTATATCCACATAAGTAGTCTCCTACTACTTTCAAGTTTGTGCTCAAGCTAATGTGGTCAATTACATCTAGCAATAGTATGTACTATCTCTAGGAATTTCTCTTTTACCAAACCAAATGAAACCATTATAGTTCACTTGTTATTCTCACCATTTTCTTGTTTGACTAACCAATGCAAAACCCCATTCGCTAAAGTTCCTACACCCTATTAGAGAACACTATAATAGAGGTCTTCTAATGTTTTTCACATGCTCCACTTTAGCTTCATAAGAACCATTATTATTAGTAGAATTAGAAATGGAACCTCTTATTATTTTGTAATCATCAAGCTGGAAATCATTATAGATTGATACTAGAAAGCAGGAATGAAAAAAAAGAAAGAAAATCAATGCCGGTTGCTTCAAATATTGAAGGAGTAGAAAACATTGAAGATGTTTGCTAGACAAAGCTTAATTTCCCACACAAAGTTAAAACCTAAAAAAATTAAAAATTCACAAGCACAACACATTAATCTTAATGTATCAATTTAGCATAAGTATACACAATCGTCAAAGAGTAAGAATAAAGGAATCGAAGAAATTTTATTATGTTCATGGGAATTGGTCTAGCACTGGGATGTGGCCTATGGCTATGGGTGGAGGAGAAAGAGTAGGAAGAAGAGCCAAATAGTCGAGGAAGATCAAAGAAATCAAGAGGAAGATGGGGATTGGGGTGTCCGTAGGAAAAGCCGAAGCCTAAGGAGAACCGAGTCCGAAGGAGGAGGACGGACAATGAAGAGGTGGCTCGGGTGGGTGTGGTTGTTTCTAATGGGTCGTATTGGGTGGTGGGTAGGGGTTGGGTGGCCATGGATGAGTCGGTGACTCGATGTGGTCGTGTGTGACGAATAAGAGATGGGATGGTTTTTTCTTTTTTGTGTTTTGGCTAATTGAGTAATTGTTGTGTGGTGTCTAGTAAGTGGTAAATGGAGTAGGAGTTATTTGGCACGTGAAAAATTCTATTTTTGATGGAAACCGATTTTTTTAAAAAAAATCGAATCAAACCGAAATAAATTTGGTTTTCGATTTTGATTTTTTTTAAAAAATTTTTTGAACAAAACCAAACCAAAATTACTAATTCGGTTCGATTAGGTTTGATTTTAATTGAATAGTGCTCACCCCTAAACATAGCTTGTTATTATTTTTTATATTCTTGTTTTCAAAAAATACATGTTAATTGTGTAAAAAGTAAACTCTAATATAATAAAATTAATAATATTAACCCACTATATATATTTGTAAAACATAAAGTTTAAGATGATAAAATTAATATTATATATATTTCCAAATCATAATTGAAATTTCCATATTAATCTCTTAAATCTTATTAAAATTCATAAACTCAAACTAATAACCAATGACATGACATTTTATAATAGAAATAATGCTACTTCCTATATTAAAAAAAAATTAATGAGACGAATTTATGAATTTTAATATGATTGAAGGATAAATATTTGATTGAGACTTCTTAATATTTTAAGAAGTTAATTGAATTATAAAAAATATCATATCATTAGTTATATTAGTTTGATAGATGAAAAAAAAGAAAGAAAAGGAAATGGAACTTCCATGAAAATTCAAAAGAGTAATGGACACAAATGAAATCTCAGGAAAAAAAAAAAAAAAAAACCTTTCAAATCTTAGTAGAACAAATTAAAATTTACTCTAAAAAAAAAAATAATATATGTATTAGAAGTATTTGTGTCTATGTATATATTAATGACCTAATTATAAATATTATACATATATGTGTTTATAATTAATGTTAATATTGGGGTACTTATTTATTATATTGAAAGGAAAAACTATAAATATTTTATATGTATGTATAAATACTAATGTAAATGTTTCATATCGCGTTTCATATTGGTTAATACTCAAATTCTATTCATTATCTAAAGGATAAAGATTTTGAATATCTCTTTGGATCGGATTATGGAAGTATCCATTTATTTTGCATTAAATTTTCATCCTTATTTATAATATATGAGTGACTATAAATTTGTAACTCAATTGATTAACACATATTTTAATTTTATTTTTCTTAATTCTCGAGTTAAAGTCTTTCATATGTATATATATGAGTGAGCAATTAACAATTAATTAAACTCAAGTAATTCATGATTGTGTAATTTTAATTTGACTATTGGTGACATTTTGCTAGTAAAAAACTCATGTTTACTTGTTAAAAATCAAAATCAAAATACAATTTGGTATGTTTAAAAACTCCTTTGTAAGATTTTTTGTTATTTCATGTACTTTCGTGAAAATCATAATTATTGATATTTGTTGGATTCATTCACATATAATAAATTAGATTTGATAAAAGTGACTCGAACAATAACTCAAGCATGGAATATTGCTTACAAAGTCAGACAGTCAGAAAAGGGGCAGGCATTTCACTCGCAATTTATTCCACTTCACGGAAAGGGATAATGTGTGGGAATACCAATGTGTAGGCCTTCCTTATCAAGTTCTCCAGCTGGTATGGGGCTATCCAGCTAGCAATATGGTCTAGAAAAAAGGACTTCGACAAAAGTGCATGACATTACTCTACATAAGTGACACAACCAAAAGAAAAAAAAAAGAAAGATCAATGGCAATATTACCCAAAATTACAAATATATATATGCATAATTACATAATAAACTTTCAGTCATGACTCCTGGAAATGTGATATAGTAAGAAAGTTTTAAATTTTATATTCAAAAAGCTGATGATGGTGGTAGGTTCTCAGGGCAAAAGTACAATTCTTAGGCCACATATCTTTTCTTCAGAGTAGCACATGGCAGGGCAAAGATGTTGGATCAACCTTAGATTCCACCGTCGATTCAGAGACTGGATTATCTTTTTTCATCAAGATAAGATCTCCACCCTGCAAATGCCAGTGCATATCAGCCAAACCCCACATATCTTGCAACTTTGAAAGCTTCTCTTTCAGCTTTTACCGATCCTTGGTTTTTTCAATTTTATGTATATCTGATATAACAGTCCTTCTATTTTATTTCTAGCCTTAGAAAACTTGTTAGTAAAAGATTCTCATACAAGGAAAGCTGTGCTTTTTATCTTTAATCATCTTTTTTTTTTTTTTCAGTAGCCATGCATAGGAAAAAATAATTCAGTTAATCAAAGTAGAAAAAATAAAAACCGAAATCGAACCAAAATTAATTCAATTAATTCGGTTTATAACCAAATTATTTCGGTTCGGTTTTAAAATAATTCGGTTTAACCAAAATTTTTCATTACTTCTCCATTTCGGACTTTAGACAATTCTCCCAAAACTTCTATTTATTTTTTCTTTGCCTAAGCCGAGTAATTAGCAATGCGGAGCTAACAAGTAACCATTTTCTTTTCTAAAAAGGATTCAACACTAAAAAAAAAAATTTCACAATTAAAGTCAAATTTAAACACCCAATATGTTTAACATTCATATATCAAAAAAGAAAATAAGTCATGCAAAATAACCGTTGATAAAACAAAAATCCGGATACAATGCAATCGACATTAAACAATAAAAACTCGGTAAAATGTCCGTTCTCATTTCTCAACAAAGAGGACGAGACACGAGTTCTCTTCCCGTCCTAAAACAAATGATTTCTATGCATTTGCAATACCTTCACTCCTTCAGGATATCTTGCAACTTTGAAAGCTTCTCTTTCAGCTTTTACCGATCCTTGGTTTTTTCAATTTTATGTATATTTGATATAACGGTCCTTCTATTTTATTTCTAGCTTTATAAAACTTGTTGGTAAAAGATTCTCATACAAGGAAAGTCTGTGTTTTTTTATCTTTAATCATCTTTTTTTTTTTCGGTGACCATACATAGGAGTGAGTATTCAATTAAACGGTTCGGTTAAGAATAATTTGGTTCGGTTTTTGGTTAACCAAAGTAGGAAAAATAAAAACCGAAACCGAACCAAAATTAATTCGAGTTAATTCGGTTTGTAACCAAATTATTTCGGTTCGGTTTTAAAATAATTCGGTTTAACCAAATTTTTTCATTACTTTTCCATTTCGGACTTTAGACAGCTTCTCCCAAAACTTCCATTTATTTTTTCTTTGCCTAAGCCGAGTAATTAGCAATGCCGAGCTAACAACTAACCATTTTCTTTTCTAAAAAGGATTCAACACCAAAAAAAAAAATTCACAATTAAAGTCAAATTTAAACACCCCAATATGTTTAACATTCATATATCGAAAAAGAAAATAAGTCATGCAAAATAACCGTTGATGAAACAAAGATCCGGATACAATGCAATCGACATTAAACAACAAAAACATGGTAGAATGTCCGTTCTCATTTCTCAATAAAGAGGACGAGACACGAGTTCTCTTCCCGTTCTAAAACAAATGATGTCCGTGCATTTGCAATACCTCCACTCCTTCGGGATCCGCAATAGAATGAAATCCCAACAAACACTCAATGCTCCTAAAAGAGGATATTAACATACTACAAAAATCAAAGGTAGTAGGCCTACCGTCCACTACCGGTAGGCGGGAGACACCAAGGCGGTAGGCTCATCGCCGATGGGTGCGAGACACCGAGGCGGTAGGCTACTACTTACTATGGTTCTCTTCTCTAGTTTAATGAAAATGAAAATTTACAATTCCCACTCACCGACTAAACTTGCACAAATAAAAGAAATAAAAAATCAAACTTAGAAAGTAGAAACTTAGTAACTTACAAATACCATTCATCACGCTAAAACACCATTAAGTCATCAACCCATCAAGATTCAACCATTTATAATAGAGGTAGTGGCTAGTGGTAACTCGAAAATTATAAGATAAAAAAGTTAAACTTTTAATATTAATATAAAGGAAAGAAATAACAAATGAAAAGGTAAGAGTTATAGAAATTACCATCTTGCATTTTCTCAACATCTTGCAAATTTTCTTCAATAATAATTGATGTCGATGAATTTTTAATCCAATCTTGAGCACATATAAGAGATTCCACTAAGCTAGGAGTCAAAGAACTCCTAAAGTAGTCAAGAACCCTTCCTCTAGTGCTAAATATCGATTATGAGGAAACAAGTAGAAACAGAACCGCCAATATATCCATAGCAATTTGTAAAAGGATGGGAAACCGAGGAGAATTGGTTTTTCATCTTTGTAAAATATTAAATCAAGCATCGTTATTTTCAGCAACTTCACTAAGATACTTATCCAACTCCATTTTATTTCCTCCACCTCTAATATCACACTTGTATTTTTCAAAATGCATCATTATCTCTCTTTTTATTCTAATTTTTTCTTCATCAATCATTTATTCATTTTCACAACCCCACATCTATTTCTCGACTCCCACTACCTTAGCCAATTTCACCTTGAGATGTTGACGAACGACAATAGAAATCATACATAGCATACATAGATTCCTTAACAATATTTGACATTCTTTGACCCTCTAAATCACCATACAATTCATTGATTAAAAATTCAATAAATACAAGTTTATGCCTAGGATCAAGTATTGTCGCAATATAAATCAACTTATTCATTTTCTTAATATCCCCTCAATACTTCTCAAACTTTTCTTTCATTTTATTGGCCAACGTAAAATCATCTAAATCCTCACTTCATTGCCATTTTCTCAAAACATGTTCGAAAGCATAAATCTCTTTAAAATAAATATTTGAAGTCACATACAAAGAACCCGAAATACGCAAAGTGAGATTGTAAAAAATTTTCAACATGCCCACCAACTTCTTACAAGACTTCCAATCATCAACATTAGGTGGCCCAACAACATTATCACCATGATCTATATCAAATTCACTCCTATATAAAGGATCAATTTGTTCATATCTCTTAAAAGC